TCTCAAACAGTAAGTTTCTTTTTAATATACTAGGTTGGTTGAAAAGTTCGCGGAGCGGAAATGAAAAAACAATTTTATGATTCAAAAAATGACTTTATTCTTCAGTATATTCTCCCTTAAGAGCAATACACTTTTTCCAACGATTCTCCAATTCATGTATCCCATCTCTGAAGTGCGATTCCGGAAGGCCTTCAAAATACCCATTTACGGCTGCAATGACTTCTTCATGTGATGAGAAACGCTTTCCACGTAGAGATTTTTTGAGATGTGGAAAGAGGTGGAAGTCGGACGGAGCCAGATCTGGTGAATAGGGTGGATGTTCCAAGCGTTCGTACTTTAATTCGACCAATTTCGCCTTTGCAACATCGCTGATATGAGCAGGTGCGTTGTCCTGGTGATAAATGATTTTTTTATGCAGCAAACCAGGTCTATTCTCACGAATTTTTTTATCCAACTGGTCCAAAAGATTTTTATAATATTCACCTGTTATCGTTTTACCGGTTTGAAGGTAATCTATTAATAAAATTCCTTTCGCATCCCAAAAAACTGATGCCATAACCTTCTTTGACGATTTTGACGCCTTCACTTGCTTCGGAGCTGAACAACCGGGTTCTGTCCACTCTGCAGTTTGTTGTCGCAGCTTCGGATCATAGTGGTAAACCCAAGTCTCATCCATGGTTACGAATCGACGCACAAAATCTGTTTTATTCTTTTGAAAACGGGCCAAATGTTCTTGAGAAAGTTTTACTCGAGTGCGTTTCTGATCCAGAGTTAGCGAATGCGGCACCCATCTTGCCAACAGCTTTCTCAGACGTAATTCATCGTGCAAGATGTGTAATACCCGTTCATCTGAGATGCCCACAGCCTCAGCAATTTCACGTTTGGTCAATCGTCTATCATCCATAACCATGTCATGCACAGCATTAATCGTTTCTTCAGTAGTAGCACTTTTTGGACGTCCAGAGCGAGGGTCATCTTCAAGGCTTGAACGCCCACGTTGAAACTCCGCAGCCCATTTGCATACTGTTGTTTTTGAAGGAGCATCATCACCCAACACATTTACCATTTCATTATGAATTTCCATGGGCTTTAAACCTTTTTTCACAAAGAATTTTATTACAGCACGATGTTCAATATTTTCCATTTTAAAAAATACTATGACACGTCTAATTTCAATAGCTTGTAAACAAAGACTGAAATGACATATCGACTTGAAATTTTTTATGCGTTCATACGAAGAATGAATACGTTTAATACAGTTATAAATTTGTTTCTACTACTGCAACATAGGTGCCGCTCCGCGAACTTTTCAACCAACCTAGTATTCAAAATACTTAACGTATTTTAACTTAACCTTTATCAATTTCTTATATTTATGTTCAAAGTTGATTATTAAGTAGCACCAAAGTTGATAATTAAATAGCATCTTATTTAACAAATTAAAAAAAAAATCATTTATTTCCAGCATGATTTTTAAATAACAATTATATTCAATAAAAAACAAATTATTCTGCTACAAAGTTCTCGATTGCAATCAGAGGGCCCTTAATATGGAACACACTCATAAACAATGAGTTAAAAACTATTTCTTCCTTTGATCAATATAAAAAGAAACTTATATTATTTTGTCAAATAATTTTGAAATTTATAAAAGTTTCAGAATTATTTGACAACAAATAACTCTGAAACTTTTAACAAATAATTAAATAATTAATGTTTTTTACTTGTTGTTTATTTATTCTTGATCTCGATCTGAACCTTTATAAATCTGAAATAAAAACAATTGTAACAATAATATGTTTTATAAAATGTGTTTTTTGAAATGTGTAAATAAGTGAGTGTATATATTACTCTAATGTATTTAACTTTTATATTCAATTTTGTGTTTTGTATTTATAAATACTTAATTATTTTCTTTTTTACTGCAACTTTATAGATAAAGTTCTACGAACATTTCTAAAAACTTAGGTGTATTATAATAACATAGTGTGAACTACACGAGTGTAAAATACTCTTAAACGAGCCAGTTTAATTTTAATTTGGATTTTGTATACATGCATTAATTGTTGATAGAGTTAGGGGTATTTCACTTTTCTGTGGGTTAGAACAAAATTGATTATATTTAGTTTTCTTTGTGATTTTTAGAAGGAGCTTTTTTGGTTTAAATTATATATATAATGTTTTTAATTAAGTATTTGTTGTTTTATAGAGATCATTAACTGTCGTTGAAGAGTAAAGAAGTTTGTATAATCTGTAAAAATAATAAATTTAAGACTAGGGGAGAATGGGGCACTTTAATACACTTTTGATTTTTGCTTCGTAAAAGTTTTTTTAATACGCCTTTTTTTTGGCGATTAGTTTAGTTTGTAAAATAAATACCTACAAAATTAAATTTATTAATTACCAAAATGTAACAGCTTTAACTTGTGAGACAATTTATAGTAAAATTAGAAACTTGTATCATTAAAAAAATAAGTAAAAAGAATACAACTTAATGAAAAGGCAGACTTTTTTCTTAAAAGACAAACAAATTGATAATTATAAACAAAATAATGCATTCAATGTTCCAAATCACATTTCAGAAATCCAGATAATATATTATTTCAAATGTCATTCTTAGGCGTCAATAAATAATAGCTTTGTATCAAAATTGAAACTTCTAGTATTATATTTACCTAAATCTCTTGAAAATTGGTTGTAAATATTTAAAAAAATGATTTTTAAAATTGTTAATGACACAATTGAGTACTATTTCACCGGTTTATAGCCCCTCAAAAATGCTAGATCAGTTACACCACACTTACTAACAGAAAATAAATGCTTTATATTTAGTATAAAACTATTTTTTAATAGTTTTGTGAAATGAAGTAAAGACCTTATGGATTTTAGTTTACAAAATAATGTTACCTAAAGATTGATACATTGAATAACATAAAATTAATAACCTTAAAACTAAGCAACTTGAAAAACTAATAAATTACTTTGCAATCAAAAAAACCTAAATTCAACCCCTAGCAGGAATGATGATAAAATATTTTTGTCAAAACTCTAGTAGTAACTGTTTACCATATGAAAGTGGTTGTCATAAATTATAAGATGCCTCCACAATTATGTTTAGTGGTGCCCCATGTGTCATGATGTCTCACTCTACCCAATTTGAAATATTCAGAAAATCATTTAAATAAATTAGAAACAAAAAGGAAGAAAAAAAGAAACTTCAGTTTTAATAACTTTGGAGTTTGTTGTTGTTTTTATTTGTAATGACACACTTTTTCTGCTATTTTTTGAATGACGGTGTGAGTGTCTTCTACAGGTTGATAAAGATCCTAAATGTTATTAAAAAAAAAAAGTTGCTTTCGGAACCCATATTGACTTTTATTTATGATTTAATTAAAAGCTACATATTTACATACTTAATTATAGTCTATTCTTTTATGTAGTATTGAGAATTTTTTAATGTATTAAAACGTGAAATCTATTTTTCAAAATTTTGTGGATGTATTAAAAAAATACATCCCACCGTTTTGCAGAGAGATTGTTATTAATAATAGGGTGTGTTAAACCATCATCACAATACCACTCAAACTCTAAAAACACTTTAAAAATATTGATCTAAAGCCCTTTCTAATAATATATAACAACTTTGTAAAAAAATAATCTAAAATTTTTATATCACATATTTTCTGAGATGATTATAAGTATATATTTACCTTCAAATTGAAAGAATTTATAATGAAAATTATTATTTATTTTAAAGATATAAAATGACACACCAAGCTCATGAAAGAATTTTGATGATTAAATTAAATATTTGACTCTTTATATTATTATTAAAGAATATATCGACTCTATTAAGTTTGCTATATTTGTCTTTGAATCATATTTTGGATCTTCTAGCTTCTTGCTTTTGGACCATTAAACAGCCTCTAGCTTGTTTTGGGATTATTAAACAGCTTCTGGCTTCTTGTTTTTAGATTAATACAGAGCTTTTTGCTTCTGATCTTGAATTACTTTTAGAATAACCAAATAGTTTAAATATTAAACTTGTTTTTAAACATGTAAATACAAATGAAATATTTAAATATGAGTATCACAGTGTTTTTTTTGCCACAAATATTCGTTAAAATAGAAAATATTAAAATACAAAACGTTCCCGTAGACGCGGTGAATAAGCTTCTTTCAATGTATTTAAACCGTTACCAAAAAAGCACACAATCATTTTCAAAAAAAGCTTGCATTTGCAAGTATAAAAATGGTAATGGCAATAAAACTTTGGTAAAAATGTTTTGGAGAGTATTTATTATTGAGTAATATTTGTAATTGAGTAATATTTCCATAAACACTACATCTTAGAATAACTCCAAGCAATTGTTTGTCCCATAATACTTATTATTAAGTAATATTTCCATAAACACTACATCTTAGTATTACTCCAAGCAATTGTTTATCACATAATATTGATTATTGAGTAATATTTTCATAAACACTACATCTTAGAATTACTCTAGGCAATTTTTCAAAAAATTAAAAATTAAAATTAAATTTTAAAACCAAGTAAAATAGAAATAACTCACTATTATTTTTATTTATCTTTTCATAATACTTCTTCTATCTAGACATGTACACATTTTGAAAAAATATACAGAAGAAACTATTTTTATCATATTTTTCAAAAAACACTTTTTATATATTAAAACACAAGTTTTGTAACAAGCAAAAATCTTTTTTTTAAATGGAAATGCGTTTTTGTCTAAAAGTTGAAGCTCACGTGCACTCCACGGTTAATTTTTTTTTACAAAAACTTACAAATATGCAAAAAATTGTATTATAACATATTCTGTAATTTTTAAAGATTTAGATATATCGTTAAAAATAAACTTCAATACTATTTTATTATTAAAATACTAAAAAAATAAGGATAAATTTAGAGGAAAAATAAATTTATCTGTGATGCTTCGATTAACAAAAACAAAATAAATTTACAATACGTATATAATTAAATCTTAGTTTTTTGTTTTCTTATGTCAACAATTTTATTTGTATTCGAATTGACTAAATATTAAAAAAACAGTTCTAAAAATTAAAAAGAAAAAGATTTTACTTTAACAATATGGATTATTTTCGACATCTTCATGGTTCATTTTCATGTGAAGCAATAAACGAATCGTTCCGTGTTACAACGAATCGTTTCGCGCTACAACGAATAGTTTTGTGCAACCAACGAATCGTTTCGTGCTACAACAAATGTTGTAAAAATTCGAGGAGTAAGTGTAATTCCATAATTTCCATCTAAACTTGGAAGACTATCGCCGGGTTTCACTTCAAACTTAAAATCACGAACCAGCCTTGAGTAAAAAAGAAAAAGTTCAACTTCAGCAATACCCTTTCCTAAACACACTCTGGTACCAGCAGAAAAAGGTAAAAAATTCATAGATTTTATAGAATCAAGTGCTTGATCATTAGTAAACCATCTATATGGATTAAACTCATGTGGATTTTCCCAACAGTTTTCATTGTGATGTAATTGCCAAAGGTTCGTTAAAATTGTGGTGCCTTTGGGAATCTTTAAATCATTCAAGAGAGTTGTATCTTCCATAGCTTTGTGAGGTACTCCTAATGGAGTAACAGAAGATAACCGCAATGTTTCTGATAACGCAGCGTTAACAAGAGGCAGCATATTACGATCTTTCATAGAAGGATATCTATCTTTACCAATAGTAGAAACAATTTCATTGTAAATTTCGTCTTGAAACTTTGGCCAGTGAATAAGGTAGATAATTGACCAAAGTAAAGTTGTCAATGCAGTTTCAGTTCCAGCTATAAATATATCATTAAGTAAAAGCTCTAAGTAGTCATCAGTTAGCTGTTCTCCAAACTTTTTTAAGATAGCCTCATCTCTTGAGAATTGTATGACATAGTCTGTATAGTCACGCAGATTACTTTCATTGTAGGTCTCTCTGTGATATAACAACTGTTTCCGAAGAACCGGATCTCTAATTGAAAGTCCTTTTTTTAATTTTCTTAGTCCATCTAACGGAAAAAAACGCAGCCACGGTATAAACGAAGCAAAATTTGTACTTGCAACTCCACTGAACACATAATTCATGTACATAAGTATTTTTTTAAATTCAGAATCTTTGTTCTCGTAGCGTTTTGCAAACACAATAAAGCAGATGACATTTAAAACCGCAACACCTATTTAAATATATTATGTATATGTATGTTTTTTATAACATGTATGATGTATTTATAATAAAAGATGATTGAGTCATAATATAATTCAGTTGTAATATAAGCAAGCTTTGAAATTAAAAATAACTCATATAAGTATCACATAATTTTATAGTTTGTTTTTATATAATTATTTATTATAACCTACAATTAATAATCGAATTTAATTAGGATTTTAACTAAAACAATACTAAAAAACAAGCACCAGCATTTTTTAATGTTTGATATAACTTTCAAATATGGAGCAAACTCCAAGCATTTACATGTTTATAGTTATGTCAAATAAAGATGTTCTGCAAGAAATTGCTGAAAACAAAAAAGCCCTGATATTTTAGTTACAACTATCCCAAAAGTGAAAGCAACAAGTTTTTTCAATCAAAGATGCAACTATAATTCATTTTAATTGCACTTTTGGAACAAATTAAAAACATTGAAAATGCTGCATCCGCTCTTGAACACAAAGATTAATTTGTCTACCGCATTTTTCACTATATTACTTCTATAATATATTTTTTAGCTCAATATTTTATAGAGATACTTCAAATTGTATTATTAGCAATCTTAAAACAACAACTATTCATTTTTTTGTTATTTGAAGATGACTTTTTTATTAATATACATTTTAATTGTTTATTAACTATGGTTATTGAATATAAACTTTAAAAACTAAAATATTAATAATTTATGGGTATAACTTTTTAAATAGTTATTGGTTCTCTAGTTTCAGACTTTTTAGATTGCTATTGGTACTCCAGTCACAGACTTTTTATATAGCTAATTGGTTCTCTTGTCACAACATTTATCTTTAACTTTTACAATGACAACATCAATATTTTTTAAAAATGTAGTTTAATTTTTTAACCTTAATGAGATGTTTGATTACTTTATTGATAAGTATTGCAAAATAAAATGTTCTGTTGCACATACCGTATATATAACAATCATTATTCAGGGACAATTGAAAGTTTATTTTGCAATGAAATTCAGAAAACAATTAACCAATCCAGTAGTTACATTCATAATAGAACATGCATATATGTACATATACTATAGATTATATATTATAGATATGTATATATACTATAGATTATATATTATAGATATGTATATATACTATTATATATATATATATATATATATATATATATATATATATATATATATATATATATATATATATATATATATATATATATTTATATATATATATATATATAATATATATATATATATATATATATATATATATATATATATATATATATATATATATATGTATATATACTATTATATATATATATATATTATATATATATATATATATATATATATTATATATATATATATATATATATATATATATATATATATATATATATATATATATATATATATATATATATATATATATATATATATATATATATATATATATATATATATATATATATATATATATATATATATATATATATATATATATATATATATATATATATATATATGCAGGTGGTGCAGTGGTTAGACTTCTGGCTTGGAACCAAGAGGTCCGGTTCAACACTCGCTCAAGCAAATAAGCGACATTGGTAAGGAAGGTGACGTGAACTTTCTAGTTAATAACACCATAATAACCACGCAAAAATATATATAAACACGTTTTATGTTTTTTAGATGCATTTTGAATTTGTTTTACATAATTTCTTAACTTTTCAAATTCACTAAAACTATTTTCCAACAAAAATTTAACTTAAAAACAAAAAAAAAAGGGAGTTTTATTTTAATGGCTTTTTCTTATATTTTATATAACTAATTAAGTTTTATATATTTTAATTTCTTAATTTGGAAATGCAATATTATAATATAGTATCACTAGTTATACTTTACTTTTATTTTTATTTTTTTGATTAGCAGTTGTTTGGTTATAATTAAATGAATTTTGAGTTCTGGTACACATTAAAAAGTTAATTAGTAATGTTAAAGTAGTTTTCAGTAGTTTGTGAGATTTTTAATTTTTATGAGCTAAATTTTTATGGGCTAAATGATTGCCGATAATCTGAGACCAAATTGAGATAAGCAATTTATTGAAAAATATATCTCATCATAAAGGCGCAATCGTAACGTTGGTTACTCAGAAAGATTATAAAAAAGAAAGCACTATAATCCTAGAGTGGGAGTTATTTTAAGAACGTAACAATCAATGCAATGATCAGTGCTTACCTTACTTAATAATTTATTTGTAGACTACAATTAGTCAAAAAACAGCCCATGGTATTTATTCCAAGAGTTCAGATGGCTCCATCAGACAGAGACCATAAAACCTTTAGTGAACAAATGAAGCTTGTAGAGCTAAACTGTAAAACTAGCCAATGTAGATTGTGACTTTCTGCATAAAGCTAAGTTGTGAAATCTAGCTTTACATCTGGGTTTTGTAACTAGCATAGAAAATGCTACTTATTAATTAAGTAACAATCAACAAACGTTTTTTAAAGAATTCTAATTAATGATGTTAAATATATATTTAAAGATTTGAAAAAAAAAAATGTTTTACCAAACTCATCTTCTAGCTCTGTGGATCTGTTACAATTTTTAAAAAGTCTTTTGTGTAGCTCTTCGCTTTCTTTTACGACAAGCGTTTCCAAATGTTTAGTTGACTCTCCATAGTTTTTTAAAGAAGAGTGAGCAATTTTCCTCAAAATTTTCCATTTAGGTCCAATATCTCCGTAGCCAATATTTTTATAACCACGAGATACAATATTAGCAATGTAGTTTTTAGGACGCCCTGCAAAAATGTTTGATTTTTGAACCAAAACCTCTCTAATAGAATCTTTTCCTGAAACAATAACAACACGATGCATTCCAAAACTTAGACTGAATACTTCTCCATACTTTTTTGAATATTCTACAAACTTTTCATGTGGTTTTTTTCCAATCAAATGTAAGTTCCCAATAATCGGTAAAGGAAAAGGGCCTGGCGGGTAAAATCTGCATTTAAACAAATGATCTAGATAAGTTGCAATGACATACAAAAGCAGAGGAGCTGTTACTCCAAAAGCAATTTCTAAGAACATACCTAAAACAAATTCAATGCTGAAATATGCACAGACAAATAAAAAGCAAGAATAATACTTATAGAAAAAAAAAACTCCCAAAAAACTTTAAGTTTTTGAAACATGATTTACCTAAAAGTTAGCAAACAGATCACAGAATAAAATAGTTATCAGCTTAAAAAGTATAAACTTTATAAAAACATTTATTTACGTTACAAGTGTAAACTCGTATTTACGTTTGATACTTACATGTATGTATGTATGTATGTATGTATGTATGTATGTATGTATGTATGTATGTATGTATGTATGTATGTATGTATGTATGTATGTATGTATGTATGTATGTATGTATGTATGTATGTATGTATGTATGTATGTATGTATGTATGTATGTATGTATGTATGTATGTATGTATGTATGTATGTATGTATGTTTGTATGTATGTATGTATGTATGTATGTATGTATGTATGTATGTATGTATGTATGTATGTATGTATGTATGTATGTATGTATGTATGTATGTATGTATGTATGTATGTATGTATGTATGTATGTATGTATGTATGTATGTATGTATGTATGTATGTATGTATGTATGTATGTAAGTATGTATGAAATTATCCTTTTGAAGACGCCAAGTAATACATCATGCGATATTTTAAGGTTATGTTTGCACACTAGACTAGGGCTACGTGATTGAATAAATTAAAACGCAACCACGCATGATATTCAGCTAATAGAACAGAGATGCCTGTAACTATTTTTAATGAACACATATATAAATATATATATTTATTTATATATGTGTATATATATATACATACATATATATATATATATATATATATATATATATATATATATATATATATATATATATATATATATATATATATATATATATATATATATATATATAACATATATATATATATATATATATATATATATATATATAATGTATATATGTATATATACTTATATATGTATATATATATATATATATATATATATATATATATATATATATATATATATATATATATATAATTTAAAATTGTTAAAAATGCTTCAGTTACCATACTAAAAAATAAATAACATCTTGTAAATATTAAAGGCGGCATAGCTAATCAACTTTTTTTAGAATGTATTTTTTAAACTTACTATTTAAATTTTTTTACAAAATCATAATATCATAATTTTTTACAAAATATCATAACTTAAAAACAAAATTTGTAGAGTACTTAAAGTTAACGTCAGCTTATAATTTAACTAAATGTGACAATTGTCAATTCAATAAATTTTTCAATATATCACTAAGAAACCTAAGTATCTTTAACCACAAAAATGTTGTATTTAATATTGAAACTATTTTAGTAAAGAATAATATTAGAAAAATTACAAAACATTTATAAATTCTGAATAACTAAGTAAATAATTTTTGTGTTTATTTATGGTATATTAACACACTATGAAATAAAAACATATAATTGTAATCTTTTAATTGCCTACATTTAATTGATTTGGTATTTTAATTCCAAAAGATTTAATCAAAAAATATTAGGATATCAGGAAAAGAAACAGTCCTAAAGATATTTTTTTAAAAATGAAACTCTGAGATTTAATGGTTTTATCAAAGAGAACCGCCACATTGAAATTAATATTTAATAAGTTGGTTCCACATTTCTAACTAAAAAGTTTTACTTTCAGAATTAAATCTTGATTGATTGTTTAGATTGATGGTCAAACGCTATTTTCTAATTTTTATTGTATTAGTTTTTATTGTTCTGTTAAATCAATATTTTTAAGTCTCTAGTTTATATATATGTGCAAATTTCCACAAAAATTACACTTAAATGTTACTGTACCACACATATTTACAATCGGTAAAAAAAGCTAATAATTTTTTAATAATAAGTTTATCCATATCCTATTTAACAATCTTAATAAATTAAAAAAAATATATTCAATAGGTATAATTTTCCTTATATATATTTTTTTATATTTTTTCTAACAAATCACTGTTATTATATTAAAAACACGACCAGATTCTTATCAGGAGAAAAAAACGCAACAAAAATATAGTGGGCGAACTTCCTTTATCTTAATAATATTGTAATGATGACTATCGATGACATTAAGAGCATCAATATCCGGTACAATAATAGAAAAATTAAGCATTTATTTTTAAACTTCACTGTCAAAATATAAAATTAAATTTTTTAATCAACAAAAAAGAAAAAAAATTTCAATGAAAAATTTTCTGAAAATTGGTAACTACATAAAATATTATGCAATAAACAATTTTCATGCATTTAAAAACTCTATAGGCGGCGAATTGTATTTGACTAGTTTAGTTATTGAGAAAAATATTCTTATCTACATTTTTCTTTTTCAAAATATTTTTAATTTAATAAGCAGTAAATAGCTATAAAAAAAAAAAAAAAAAAAAAAAAAGGTTTGAAAATATGTTTTCAATGTTTTGTTTAGTTAGCATATTAGGCCAGTCATATGACATTTATTGACTTTATTCAGTTAGTACAGAATGACAAAACTACACAGCACGTGCAACACGGGCTCATTGAATTATAACTGTGCGGTACAAACTTTACTTTCGGTTTTCTTATGGGAAAGAAAGGGGAGGGGTGAGGTATAAGGTAAGATTTTTAATCGTAAGTATTAACGCCCTTAAAAAAGTACAATTTTCATAAATGTGGCTTAATTAATTAGTATTTATGGATCGCTAGATTTTACCATTTATTTAATTCTAGTTTCAAAGTTATGACATACTTTACTTATTGTTTTTTAAGGGTCGTTTAAATATTTTTGTAACAAACGCACATAACAACAACAACAGCAAAAACAACAACAACAACAACAACAACAACAACAACAACGATAACAACAACAACAACAGCAACAACAATAACAACTACTACAACAACAGGAAACAACAACAACAGGAACATCAACAATAACAACAACAACACCAACAGCAACAACAACAACAACAGCAACAACAACAACAACAGCAACAACAACAACAACTACAACAACAACAACAGCAACAATAACCACAACAACAGCAGCAACAACAATAACAACAATAACAACAACTAAATTCAAACGTTGCTAAGGCTATTTAGTTCACAAATATTTGTCTAAGTCAATTTTTTAAAACTATACATACAATAAATAACAATAAATAATTTGTATAGGCATAAAATATCTGTCAACTTGATTATTATAAAAAGTCAACATGTCGGAGTTTATATAAACTAAATAATTTTATATAAACTAGAAAGAAAAAAATATTTTAGACCATACAATAAGAGAGTCAATATCATTTGCAATTTTTGATGAGGTTGAATGTTTTTAAGAGAACGAACAATTCTGGTATCGTTAACAAAAAACGGAGCTTTTGACTTAATTGCGTCAAAGTTATCATTAACATATATTAAAAAAGAGTAACACTAAAAGAACGAAACCTTGGGGAACTCCACTTTTAGTTGTTACCCACTTTGAGTAAATACCATTTAAACAACTCTTTATCTACGGTTTTCTAGAAAGTTTTTTTTTCCAAGTAGAACTGGTTCATTAATGCCATAAGATACAAGTTTAGAATGAAAGCCATTTTTGTGAAATCTTTTTAAAGGTTTTTTCAAAATCGAGGTAAATGTTGTCAATGTTGAGAATTTTATTATGCTCGTGTTCGCATCAATTACAGTTAGTAGATTACTGTTAGTAGATTAGTCAAGCATGAATGGCTAAAGCGGAATCAATGTTAAAATAAAAAATATATTCAAAAAAACAAAAAACAAAAATTCTAAAAAGCATTTTTATGCAAAGCTATTATATGGAGCAACGGAAACATTAAAAAAACCTGGCATGTAATTTAAGAAATAATTGGTAAAAACATAAATGCGAGAAACTCTCTGCCAAAAAATAAACAATTGATAAAAAATAAAAAAAGTAAGCAGTTTATTTGTTATAGCTGGTCCAAATTTGCATCAAATATCCCTTTAAAATCAACTTCATTGAGTCTTATTTAAAAACGATAAAGTTATGGATGAACCTAATTTAAAACTAATGGAATTGCAAATTGCCTTTTATAATCTTAAAACTAACAAAAGTGCTGTATTGGATAAAGTTTACGTTAATGTTGAAAAATCGGTTTATTATATAATCGAATTGTTTCACATATTTGATCTTTCTTTTAGTGATTCACTAAAAGAAAAAATCACGGTTTTTAAAACCGGAGATGACTCAATTATTTCTAATTATAAACTTAAGTTGTTTTTCAAAATTACTTGAAAAAATAATATATAACAGGCTCTTCAGAAAACGGTATGCTCTGTTCAAAACAGTTTGATTTCGAAAAAGTTCAATTGAACATACATTGGTTGAAATAATTAAATAACAAACGAATTAAATTTTTTTTTTTTTTTTTTTTTTTTTTTTTAATTTTAATTCACCTCCTCAAGGCCGAGAAGGCCACTACAGACGAGGAGGCTACTTTTGTGGCTATAACCCTCTCTCAACTCTATAACTCCGAAACACGAACCTTGACGAACAAGGCCGCTGCGCGGAGAAACGAGTTGATACTAACTACATTTTAGAGAAAATTTTTTACAGATCAATCAAACGTTTCATTGATCTGTAAAAATTTTGGGCTTTTTGTTCTTAGGCACCAATCATCGCAATTTTTTGCAAATCATCCTTATTAGACATAAGTATAAACATATAAATGTTTGGAGTTTGCTCCGTGTCTGGAAGTTAGCTTAAATACCAAAAGATGCTGAATTCGTTTCTGATACAAACCGCGTTAGAAGAGTACATAACATAACTAATGGCTCAATAGCTTTTTTTTTTTTTTTTTTAAGTTGATTAAGGTGCCCCAAGAAGTCCTTACGGTCTTATCACAGAGCACCGCGGAAGAGCATTTAATAGGAAGTTCACGCCTCCTTCCCAACCGATGTCGCAAAACTTGACCAGAGGTGGGGTTTGAACCACGGATCTTACGTTTCTGAGGCAAGTGCGCTACCACTGCGCCACGGCTGCTGTGGTAGCTGGCTCATTTCTCCCACATGCTTCAACCGTTAAGCGTAGGTGTTTATGGTCTATATGGTTTGTTACGTTAAATGTGATTATATTCATCTCAGTTTATTCTATTAATTTTATTACAAAATTATTTATTTTTTTCATTTATTTTTTCAAAGTTATACATTATGCAACAAAACTTTTTTATTATAATAGTGCTTTTAAAAAAAAATGTTTATTTTGTTTAGAAAAAAAAATCTGTAATTAAAAACTTACCTTAAAATCATATCGGAAAAAACAGGTTCAAAATATTTATTTTGGGCCGTTTTTAGATTGGGCCGCCGTCGCACTATTTTTATTTCGCGACATTTTTATTTACATTTTAAAATGGTTGAAATGCCAAAAAAACATGTTTTTTTTAAAACTATTGATGTTTCAAGATCCTTTTATGACTAAAATTTTTTTTTATGAAATCATGCAAAAAATATATATATAACCATAAATAAAACACATGAAAAACATAAATTTTTTTGATCAACTTTAGCTTTAATGCGCATAATTTGGATTTAGTGTTACCAGAAATTTCTCTTAAAATTTGCCATATAGGTTTGGAATTTTTATCGTTTTGCTTAGTAAATTAAAACTTGAGTTGCCAGATAAATTGTATAAATTAATAAATTGCAATATAAACGATTCAGCAGCACAAAAATTGTACCACATTGTTTAATTCGCTTTTGAAATTTCAACTGACTGTTAAAAAAATAATAAAATAATAAAATTAAATTTTATGGTTATACAGGATGCTAGACATACATTTTTATATCGATGGTTTCTGTCATTTTTATATCGATGGTTTCTGTCATAACCTTTAATTGTTTTTTCTATTCTGAATATTTACCAACTATTATTTTATATAATATATTTTACAAAATAAGTAATAATAAAAATAATCAGGCGTGTTAAATATTTAGAAAATAAGAAAAATAATAAATGTTATTGCTGAAACAAATTATATATAAAGGTTAGTCAATCTATTATCTTGAATATAACCATAAAAAGCAGATTTTTAAAAAAGACTTGTCTAAAACTTGAATTGCTCAAACAAAACTTTCAAAATGAAGAGACTTTTAAATCAAATTCAAAAGATTGGCGTGTTTTAATCATAATAAATAGATTTCAGCAAAAGAAAATAATCCAGACATTGAAATTAAAGATTTCGAACAAACTGTTAAGTAAATAGTTTCATATTGAAGGCTAATTATAAAATTTCTAATATTACTTTTGCCAGACTTATTGCAAATGAAAAAAACGTGACTAGAGGCTTAAGTAGAATTTAAAAAACATGGTAAGAAAAGAATTGATTCTGGTGATGAGAGGCCTGTCAAGCATAATGGAGATATTTGCATAATGCAATGTTTTTTGCATAATCGGGATTATGCAAAAAACATTGCATTGTAAAATAGAGACATACAATTCATTGTAAAATAGAGACATTAACCCAATACTACATGATCTGTTTGAAGAAAAAAAATGTGTTATTCAGAAAAGGTTTAGGTGAATGAAACAGAGGAAGTTTGTGTTCTTCAAAGTATTCTAGACCATACGATGCAGTAGATTTTGCAACTTCTGGAAAGCCAAACAGTTCTAGAAAACTTTCTTCTTGATAAAAATGGATTTTTGCATTGCAAAATAGGCTTTGAAATGGCTTAACGCCAGAGTATTTACAAACAAAAGTACAGTGACACAGATCTACAGCAAAATAATAATCTTTTAAATTTATGCGGTAGTGGTAGTTTTAAAATATGCGGTAGTGGTGTAGTGGTAAAACACTCGCTTCATAATCGAGAGGTTCCGAGTTCGATCCCCACCACGTCTCTGGTAGTACCACGCTCAACTTGTTTCTCCGCGCAGAGGCCTTGTTCGACAAGGTTCGTGTTTCAGAGTTATAGAGTTGAGATAGGGTTATAACCACTATTAAGTAGCCTCCTCGTCTGTAGTGGCCTTCTCGGCCTTGAGGAGGTGAATAAAAAAAAAAAAATAAAAAAATTTAATAGTCTATAGTTAAACAAAAGACTATTAAACTTTAACATTAAATTGGGTACACTTTTGCCAGCCAGTTAAACTTCAGTTCAAAAAGGAGTCCAAGTTGCTTTGTGTCGAGTAAGAGGAGACGTTAAAATTCAAAATTCAAAATCTTCAGATGTGCTTGAGCAGAAAAAGCTACCCACAAAGTCAACTATAAGATTGAATTTACTATGCTTGATGGGAAAGGAGTGAATGCAATAATAGATAATAATTCGAAACAATCCTGTCATGTTTGTGTGGCAAAATCTTCCCAAGTTTTTAATAAGAAAAGACTCATTAAGTTTTTAATAGAAAAGACTCAGGAATTGTGATGAAAAAGCGTTACAAATAAGTCACTGCTGGGTTTGTAATTTTGAAATTCTTAACATTTGGTATATGAAATGGACATTCAGAAGATTTAGGCAAGGACAACTGATGAGAAATTAAATGTGGCCCGAAGGAAAACAATTATTAAACGTAAATGTAGAGAAGAACTAAGCCTTGTGATAGCCCAACCCAGACCAGGATTTGGTAACACAAATGATGGAAATACTGCAAGAAAAGTACTTGAAGATTCAGAAGTTTTTGCTAATGCCATTGCTGTGGATTAAGAAATTGTAAAAAAACTAAAAACTATACTGATAACCATACGTTCTGGTTATGAAGGTTGACCCTGAAATAATTCAAAAACTACTGCAGAAAGATGATATTGACCCTAAAATTATTCAAAACTTCTGCAGAGAGATAATATTGACCCTGAAATAATTTAAAACTACTGCAGAGACATCACTGATTTAATTATTTTTCAGTGCTCTAGAAGCATGTGTACACCACGTAGTATTCACATGCTTCTAGAGCACTGAACTCAAATATCAGAATCCTTAGAACTTCTCATAGGATTTTACTCAGATGAGGCTCAAGAGACTTTAAACAAAGAACTTCAAAATGCCAGGTTGAATCATTCTTCTAAAAAATCAAGGTTAAATGTTACGAAGAACCGAACGAACCATCCACTTATTTGAAGTCATTTACTGATTTCATCTTTTTAGTCAAACACAAAAGTTTTTTTTTTTTTAACTACATTTTAAAAAATTTCGTTAATATTTCATAAAACTTACAAGCTAAAATGTAGCATATAAACAATGACATGTGAAGATTTTTAATAGAGATACAAAAAAAAAAAAAAATAGAACGCGGAGACTCTTAGAAGACCATAGCATCTTGTCGTCGAGAACTGATGTAAAATGACGTGTTACATATTTACAAATTAAACATTTCAACAAGATTTAAATGAAAAATAAAAAATGAAAAATTTACAGAAATATTTTTAAAGATAATATAGACAGATAAATAAATGCAATTTAGGCTAACAGATTGTAAATAATTGAATTACAAATCATACAAACAGATCATTAAAAATCATACATTAAAAATCATATAAACCGATATAAATAATAGATAAAAAGAATTTTAATATGTTTTAAAAGTACATGCGCATATTTTCAATTTCAAAAATTACTTCTTTCAACTTTTTTCAAAAATATATGTAGTTCCATTTATAAAAAAATTAAAGTTATTTAAGACAACTTTGTTCCAAAGATACGGTCCACGAACGATACGATCCACGAAAGATACGGTCCACGAAATAATATGCAAAATTGACTATGATTAGTTTTCAAAAATAGTTGGATCAAAAAGTTATCATTTCGTAGATCGTATTTATTTTTTTATTTTGAGAATGTTAAAAATTTTTGTATTTTGTACCACTTTTGCATCTCCTAATAATGAACAAAGGTCTTCAATTTCTAAGATATTTTAGGACTTTCAGGTTCTGGTTTAGGTGGGGGGGGGGGGGTAGAAGTAAAAACTCGAACTATATGGAATTAATTAATTAAAGCCGTTTTAAAAAACTCGAACTATATGGAATTACGACCATAATTCCATATAGTTCGAGTGTTTTAACAAGAATTTGATGATCAATAGATCCAAAAGCTTTTGATAAATCATAATGTATATTCAGATTTATTAAACGACTCGTTAATACAACGTGTAAACTGAATTATGGCATGTTTGGTAAATTTTTTTTTGGAACCATATTAACTATTAAATAACATATTATTTACAGAAAAATAAATGTTGATTTTTTATATAAGATTCTCTCTAAAACTTTTGAAATTTAATGGAAAGCATCTACAAGTTTAATCTACAGGTCTAATGGAAAGCATTAACAAGACTATGTCCTTTCATTGTTACAAAGTTTAACAATTAGTAAATTATTTATTTATGTATTTTGAGAAAATTAAAATCATTTAAATACAAAACTATGCTAGGGTATGGTACTGCAACACTAAACAATTTGTCTCTCTTAAGAGAGACAAATGAAATTGCATGCCAATTGGCATGCAATTGAGTACTCTTTGCTGTGCAAGTCGTTGATTATGACCACGTATATATACTTTGACGACGAAGGACGATAGAATGGTTGTGAAAGTTTATATCATCAATTTCACATATGGACTTGAACATTAGATTTTATTCACCTCATTTTCTTCTTTCTTCAAATTTCGTAAGACCTAACACGACTCTTCGCTGCTCGGCGGTGCGATGCTTAATCTCGAAAATGATTTTTTGTTGCAGCATTTTAAACTTCTTCTAGCGTTTCGATATCTCCCAGTTGGTACAATGACCATGCTTAGATAGCGTACTCGAGGAGAGGACAACCATACCTGGTGTAAAGCTTTATCCACAGTGAAAAACTACGTCTGCAAAATAGTCTTGTTTTGATATTTTTTTCTCTGCAAGTATGCATGAATTTACACTTTTCAGTAATAAAGATCAGCAGTGAACTGTTCAATGGCTTTGTCAAAGTCTGCTTGCAAACTCTCAGCGTCCCGGTCGGATTTATGACGTCAATAATTTTGCTGTCATCAACGTAGAGCTTGATCTGATGTTCTAATTTGTTTGGAAGATCATTAATGCACAGAAAAAATAGTAATGGACCTAAGACTGAACCTTGTGGTACGCCACTAATAACATTTTTCCAATTTGATGCACGCTCTCCGGTTACGACTCTCTGCTGCCTTCCTGAGAGCCATGGTTTAATCCATGCGTAAAGCTCCTCTTTGATTCCGTAGTTTAGAATTTTGTGGAAAATTTTATTGTGTGGAACTCTGCCAAAGACTTTTGCCACACCCGTGAAGATTACATCTGTAGCGTATCCCTGGTACATAGTTTCTGTTAAAAGATTAAATGTTTTCTAAAACTCGTATTTGGTTTTTAACTTTTTTCATTTTGTTAATATAGACGTGACTCAATTTATTCATTAATTATCAATTATTTATTGACTCAAATAAGTTATTAGGTTATTATTTGAGGCTTTAACACTTGATTTATATTCTAGCACTGATTATTTAACTTCATTTGTCACCTGTTTCCATAATTTGTTATATTTTTTACAAAGGATTTCGCGCATACAGCGCCCAGCAGCTCTATACTTTGCCCACAGAGTTCTTTTTTTATTTATCGCCTCTTTAACTGTCTGTGTTACCCATGGGTTGGCAACTTCAACAAAAGGAGTGTTTGTATTTGGTATATAAAGTTTACAAGCGTATTCTCTCTTTTGACAAAAAAATATGGGAAAATTTGTTCGTTGAGAGGCCATTTGATAAAGTTTTCCAGCCGAGCGATTCTATTTATTTTGATATTTATTTGTACTCGTGCTGTAGTCCCCAATGGCGTTTTCTTTTTAATGTTAAAAATACAATCCGGCTCGTCACTGATGATTAGGTCTAAAGTATTTTTTGGTGCGCTTAACAGAGAATGTCTATATGTCGGAAAAGTTATTACTTGTGATAGGTGATTATCCGCTAGGCATGCCTGAAAAATTGTATCGTTAAGCTATTTTTTGGAAACATGACTTAAACCAACATCGTTGCGCATCCGATATTGTTCAGTACCGTCTTTGATTGAGCGAGTGACGCTATTGTCTAAAGGAGCACCGTGTCGTTTAGATTTTGGTGATGATACATTTATCTAAGAAGAACCTAATGTATCAGAATAGTTTGTTTTAGCTTAAAGATTCTAAAACTTTAACTTCATTCCTGTGTAGTTAAACGTAATGCGCGCGTTAAATGTGTACGCCAAGCATAAAAAATATTTTTATTAACAAATTTGAATTCTTACACCCATAAAACTCCTATTTCAACATATAACATATTTATTTACAATGTTTGTCAAAACTTGTTGAGTTTTTGCAAGAATATAATGATTATTGCATAGGGAGAACATAATTATTGATTTTTTGAGAATATAATTATTGACTTTTTTTGTTGTTCTTCTTCATTACGTTTGAAAAAGCAATCGATTATAAAATAAATTCTAAAAAATATTAAATTATAATTATAAAAAAGTTTGAAAAAGCAATCCATTATATAATATAAAATACAGAAATATAATAAAATTTATGATCAATATTACGGAATAGAAGAACGCCCACATGTTAAAGAACCGCTAAAAGGTTTACCTGTTAAAGTTTCATATTATAGAAAATTCACAAAATAAAAAAAAAAATCATTAGGAGAATGCATCAACTGATGCATCGAGAAAATCAAGTTGCAGCTGGATTGCTGATGGAAGAATATTTATAAGAGAACTAATGAAAAGGTAATAAATGGTGTTTTGTGATACCTATACTAGCTGGTCATTTTATACTGACAATTCAAGAAAAATTAGTATCGAGTAATGATAAAGAATTAGTCTGATTCCTCTGGTTAATCCAGAGATTCCTCTGGTTAATTAAGCATAAAACTTCATAAAACTTCAATCAAAAATAGAACTCCAAATTTTTCGTGAGAAAATCATGGTTGTATTTATATTGATAATTTATTTCAACAAATCAACAAATCGTTTTGTACGACAACAAATGTTTTTATGTGAAACAATTAACAAATTGTTCCGTGCTACGACTAACGTTTTCATGTGAAGCAATCAAGGAATCGTTTCTAGCTACAACAAATGTTTTGAAGGTTTGAGGAGTTAGAGTAATTCCACAATTTCCATATAAACTTGGAAGACTATCGCCGGGTTTTACTTCAAACTTAAAATCACGAACCAGCCTTGAGTAAAAAAGAAAAAGTTCAACTTCAGCAATACCCTTTCCTAAACACACTCTGGTACCAGCAGAAAAAGGTAAAAAATTCATAGATTTTATAGAATCAAGTGTTTGATCATTAGTAAACCATCTATATGGATTAAACTCATGTGGATTTTCCCAACAGTTTTTATTGTGATGTAATTGCCAAAGGTTCGTTAAAATTGTGGTGCCTTTGGGAATCTTTAAATCATTCAAGAGAGTTGTATCTTCCATAGCTTTGTGAGGTACTCCTAATGGAGTAACAGAAGATAACCGCAATGTTTCTGATAACGCAGCGTTAACAAGAGGCAGCATATTACGATCTTTCATAGAAGGATATCTATTTTTACCAATAGCTGAAACAATTTCATTGTAAATTTTGTCTTGAAACTTTGGCCAGTGAATAAGGTAGATAATTGACCAAAGTAAAGTTGTCAATGCAGTTTCAGTTCCAGCTATAAATATATCATTAAGTAAAAGCTCTAAGTAGTCATCAGTTAGCTGTTCTCCAAACTTTTTCAAGATGGCCTCATCTCTTGAAAATTGTATGACATAGTCTGTATAGTCACGCAGGTTACTTTCATTGTAGGTCTCTCTGTGATATAACAACTGCTTCCGAAGAACCGGATCTCTAATTGAAAGTCCTTTTTTTAATTTTCGTAATCCATCTAATGGAAGGAAACGAAGCCACGGAATAAAAGAAATTGCGTTTGTACCAGCTACACCAGTAAAAACATAATTCATGTAGGTTAGGATTTCTTTAAATTCACAATTTTCGTACTCATAGCGTTTTCCAAATACAATAGAGCAAATGACATTTAATACCGCAACACCTAGTAATACAAAATGTACGTGTTAACACTCATATATACATACATAAAATATACATACATACTATAAAAACATTGTGCACCGTATACTCTGCTAATGAAGTTAGCATTTTATGGCTTATCAATTAATGAAGTTTGGTGTAACAAATGTTACATGTTAATAGATCATTTGAAAAAAAAAAGTAAAAACAAGGTTGACAACATTTTCCAGTATTTTTGTAAAAAAATATATACTCACAATGACAAAACATTAACGAGTACAAATATATTTCCCCATTAATTTTTTATCCCAGTATGTATATATATTTTCATAAACATGTAACCGTAAGTAGAACTCTCTCTCTCTCACACACACACTCTATAGTTTCACTATAATTTTTCGTTAAAACTATATATTATTGGAACTAGTTAGGTAAAACCATATAAAAAAAAACTACCCGGTGGGAAATCGGCTAGCGATTAGCTAGCTATAATCGTTACGATAAAGACAGCGATTTGGCCACGAGGATCGCTAGCTTTTTTAAGTTAGCGAAAAGCTATCGATATTTGTAAAGATAAAGACAGCGATTTGGCTACGAGGACAGCTAGCTTAATAAGCTAAAGACTCACAGGCTATTGTAGCTACCGTCATATCGTAATAAAATCGCTATCAAAAAAATTTTGGTATGTAGCTATTAGCCAGCTATAGATTTGTAGATATTTTGTAGCTAGCTACAAAGCTACGATATGTAGCTAGCGACACATTGCTACAAAATCGCAATGTTTAAAGTTCAATTATTCTCATAATTATAATAGACTTCACACTAAAAATCAATTTTTTAAAGATGTTAGAGACATTAATAAAGAATAAAATAAGAAAAAAAAAATCGCTTGAAAATCGCTATAAATCGCTATAGCTCATTTTCCACCGGGTAGACAGTAAAAAGCTAATGTTACAAGCGCATGTATCTAATCTTCAGGTTTGTGGTTGCTTAATGGAAATTTATTTTCGTGGAAATTCATTCTGTTATTTTATTAAGTAGTTCTTCGGCATTTTTATAAAGTAAAATTATAAACAAAGTAAACATATCATATAAACAAAGTAAACATTGTTTTGTTGTGTTGTTGTAAGCAGGGACTATTTTAAGGATAGACCAAGTTAATTCAGGTGTTTCTTTGAGTTTTTCCCTGTTTCCCATATATATATATTTTGAGAGAGATTGCATTTTAAAGTGTTATATTTGAAAATGATTACTTGTGGAGCACATATCTATTTTTCCACACTCCATGTTATAAACCAATGTATGCTTTGCTGGGTGTGTTTGGGAAAGATGTTATGCATTTGTAAATTATGTTTGTCGCTCTACAGTTTTTATTCAGCAGACAGATTTCTTTTTGTTTGTAATTACAATGAAAATTTCAAGTTGTGTTTTTTGAATTTATTTTTTTGTTATAACTTTTATGATTTTTGAAATATTGTTTTAGCAGCTGTAGCTAACTTTTTTGGTGTTTCAATTGTGGGAAATGCTAATCTATTAATTGCAAAAAGAATTGGCCAACATTGTTAGATACGCTTATATTATAGTGTGGGTTAAACTAAATTATATTCCTTTTTCTTTTGTCTTTTTTTATTTATTTATTTTGGGGAGGGAGGGGGGGAGGAGGGGGAGGAGAAGGTTTCTTGTAGATAGATATTTGCTTCGTACAGATCCATGTTATGCTCTTGCAGGTCCCCATTCAACAATAATAATTTTTGGAGAGCATCCCATTTTAATTCTGAATCCATCAAAAATTCTGTAAATGTTGTTTTTTTTTTAAACTTTCTTAAGTGAATTTATCACTTTGCACCTTAATTTTTTTCTTTTTTGCAGTATTCCAAGATCCAATAACCACTGCTTATTACATCTTGTTTTTAGTAAAAAGGTAAACAAACCTTCTAAAAATTATTAGTATTTTAATAATGATGAAAAATCGAAGCAAAATTTAGTTTAAATATTACTTTAAAAGAATAATCCAACCTCGTTTTAGAATAAAGATATCTTGCAAACAGATAAGCACAAACCTGTCTCCTGTTAAATGTTTTAATTCACTAAAAACTCCATAAAAACGTTTTACTGAAGCCTAAATAAAAAAAAATTTAACTGCTAATCATATAGTTATTGAAATGGAACAACTTTGTTTGGAAATGAACATGAGGGAGATTTACCAACAATTAAGACATTTATTTTTTTATCAGAATTGGGAAATTTTGAAAGAAATAATTTACCGAACAATTTTTAAACAAAGAAGTAGTGTTTGAAGGTTTTAAGCCCTATCTATTTAAAATTTATATTGGGACATGATAATATGATAATACTTAAACGCTTAAGTTTCCTATCCTGATCAATCATGTATTTAAATTCTGCTATACAAAAAAAATGGTAGAAAGCAGAGCCTCTCCCCCCCCCTACTTTTTTTCTGAAGACCTTTTTTTTCCAGAAATTTCAAGTTATATAAGAACCTTTTTTTAGAGTTTGAAGATTTCGCCCCTCCACTTCGAAACCTTTTTAATTAGCCTTGGAAAGTCTCCACTATCTCTTCAACACTACATCACTGATCCATCACCAAGTCTATTATAATAAATCTAAAAATGGAAATAATTTACAGACTTATAAAAGTTTCGCCATCCCCGGAGTAAGGAATGCCCCAGACGAATTTTCTTTTTCCAACATGCATAAAATAGGTTCATAAAATAGGTCCTAGTTTCTTATTTTTTTTGTTTGTTTGTTTTTTAAAAAGATTAAAGATATAATAATAGCATAAAAAAGTATATTGCGAATTTCTTTTTTAATTTTTATAATTGGTTTAAAAATTGATGAAATATATTTGAAGATTTAACCGCGCTCCATTTTGAATATAAAAAGACTATAAACATTTAAGGCCTGTTACGATCATCTATTGTAAAATATTCTGGTTTGATTTCCCTCAGTTTCACCTACTTTTCATTCAAATATTTTAAAGTAAAATTTAACATAAGTACTTGGGTGCCCCAAATCAACTAATTCTAAATATAAAGGTTAAATGATGTGTTTTTTATTTAAGAAAGTTAAAATGTTGAGAAGAGCGCCGACTTTCGGCTTCTTCAGATAACAGTACGTTATTACGTATGTTGTTTAAGTTGATACGCATTTACGAAAGTTATTGTTAAATTCCTGAAGCATTTAACAAAACAATAATAAATACAGATAGCCGGTGTGTTTTGTCTTTTTCATAATTTTTTTTTTGACATAGATCAGACGTCACGCAAAATTTAATGAGCTTAGTCAAATTTGAGATAATTGCGCTAGTCTTGAAATTAATCTTATATTTATATCGGAGAAATTATTTCATCTTTTTGACTTTTCAAAACAGATTTTAAAGCTTTAAATCAACACTATTAACCAAATTTTTTTTTTGACTGTCCTGGGAATAGTTGGAAGGCTTTAAAGTTTACTGTCCTGGGAATAGTTGGAAGGCTTTAAAGTTTACCGCTGAAATATAAATGAAAATTTATACACCGCTAACTAAATATCACTTAAATAATGATCATATTGAGAGGAGTGAACTAAACCGCAAAAATAAAGTTTTTGATTTTATTATATTTCCAAATTTTATATACTGAAGTTTATCATCAATTTAAATATTAGATCTAATTCACAGTTTATTGTACAGATTCAAAAATGTTTTAAACCTATGCAAATATTTTTTAAGTGTACAAGTGTTTTTATTTAAATATAGTGTACAAGTGTTTTTATTTATATTTTTTTAAGTGTAGTTTTTTTAAGTTTTATTTATGTGTTTTTAAGCGTATTTTATTAAATATTTTTTAAGTGTACAAGTGTTTTTATTTATATATAAGTGTACAAATGTTCGTATTTATATATAGTTAAATATTTTTCAAGTGTAGTTAAAATCATTCGTTTTAAAATACGTTTGTTTATTATTATTATTAACAATAGTATTCATATTTTATTAGATTTTTAAAAATTTTTGATAGAAAAAGTTTAAATTCCTTTCATTAAAATCCAATATTTTTGATAATATTCAATATATATATATAGCTTATCGTCATTGTTATAACTGCGGTATAATTTATATACAATATGTAATATATAAATTTCTATATTACATGAACAAGTATGTTTGATTCTATATTATGTATAAATACGTGCACATAAGCGTATATTTTGTTTATAAAAATTTATATTTTAAATATTTTTTACAGGAAACATAAACGTTTATCACAAGTTGCAAAAGTGGTTCTTATGATGAATAATAATTATAGTAATTACAATGGAGCTAACAAAGTAATAGTAATGGCTAACAATATATTAATAACGGAGGTAGCAAAGTAAAAAATAATGGAGCTAATAAAGTTATAATAATGGAGCGAACAAGGTAATGATAATGGAGCTAACAGTATATCATTAGTGGAGCTAACAATATATTAATAATGGAGGTAACAAAGTAATAACAATGGGCCTAACAAAGGAATAATAAATTTGCAACAAAGTTTTCTTAATTGAGCTAATAAACTCGCATTACTTAAACAATTAAAAAAATGGATTATTGAGAGGACAAAAAAACATACATTGCTTTGCAAAAAAAAACATGTTTCATAAAAGAAAAAAAAAAAGCATGCTAGGTCTTTATAATAAATAATAATAATAATAATAATAATAATAATAATAATAATAATAATAATAATACAATTGAGAAAAAAAAGATGGTAAATACAAATTGATTCTAAGTTGCTACTGTATGTAGAATTTATTAATTATAACAATTTTAAGAAATTAAAAAAATTTTTTTTAACCTCTAACTATAATAATTAACAAATAAATGTAAAAATCAACTTTCATTTTTATAAGAATGATTTGAATATTTGTTTAGATAATAAAAATGTAAAAAATTACCAAACTTATGTTCCAGCTTTGTTGATCTGTTAGACTTTTTATAAAGGTTTTTATGTAATTCTTCACTTTCCCTCACAACAAGTGTTTCCAAATGTGCAGTTGATTCTCCATAATTTTTCAAAGAAGAGTGAGCAATTTTCCGTAAAATTTTCCACTTAGGTCCAATGTCCCCGTAGCCAATATTTTTATAACCACGAGATACTATATTAGCAATATAGTTTTTAGGACGCCCTGCAAAAATGTTTGATTTTTGAACCAAAACCTCTCTAATAGAATCTTTTCCTGATACAATAACAACACGATGCATTCCAAAGCTTAGACTAAATACTTCTCCATACTTTTTTGAATATTCTACAAATTTTTCATGTGGTTTTTTTCCAATCAAATGTAAGTTTCCAATAATTGGTAAAGGGAAAGGACCTGGTGGGTAAAATCTGCATTTAAATAAATGATCTAGATAAGTTGCAATAACATACAAAAACAATGGGGTAACCACTCCAAAAGCAACTTCTAAAAACATTCCTAAAACAAATTCAAGTCTAAAAATAGGTGCTTGTCTTATATGCAAACAGGCAGCAGATGTGCGTATTGATAAACGCCACAAGCAAAGAGATGTTTTTTTTTTTGCGTACCTTTCGTACACTTTACACATTTTTTAGTTAGCTTATCTAACCATTATTTATTAAACAATTAAGTATCTTTTTCTTGTAACAACAAAGATCTGCTTACACTGTTTTGACATATTTTGACGACTTCACAAGCATTAAAAGCCTAAAGTTTATTTGCTCATTATGTAACTTACTTTAAAATTATTATAGAAAACTTAAAGTACTTAAACAATTTATAAATAATTAAAAGCTTAGCTAAGCATGTATTGTAATGACTTGTAACAAGTGTAGAAAATAGGAGTCGAGAAAGTTATATAGTACCATATAACCTTCCATATAGTATGTATGTATGTGTGTATGTATGTATGTATGTATGTATGTATGTATGTATGTATGTATGTATGTATGTATGTATGTATGTATGTATGTATGTATGTATGTATGTATGTATGTATGTATGTATGTATGTATGTATGTATGTATGTATGTATGTATGTATGTATGTATGTATGTATGTATGTATGTATGTATGTATGTATGTATGTATGTATGTATGTATGTATGTATGTATGTATGTATGTATGAATGTATGTATGTACGTATGTATATATGTATATTGGGTTATTAAAATGCAGAATTTTAACTTAATATAACAAGCAATTAAAAATTTTTAAAAGAATTTATCACTAACTTTTTAAAAAAATGTATCTAGAAGTGATGATTGTCCATTCAACGACCCGCTAAAGTTGCACCTAAAAACGTCTTTAGCACTAACAATGTTAAATTTAAATCATAAAATTATTATTAACAAGAAAAGTTCATTAATCATACCTAAACCTTTTGGAACCGAGAAAACAAACTTTTAATTATATCTGCATGCTTTTATTATAATTGTAATTACCGTCTATCACCAGAAGCTATGCATCAATTAATAACAATTATTACTTAGTTTGACATTTCTATAATTGTTTTTCATCGATGCGCAGCCTAATTAAATTACCTATTAATAATAACACTAATAAGCAAACATAAAAAAGTATACGAAAATCTAAATAAAATGAAACGAGAATGAAGTATACGAAAATATATCTGTATATATAGATATACGAAAGTATACGAAAGTATATCTGTATATATAAATATACGAAAGTATACGAAAATATATCTGTATATATAAATATACGAAAGTATACGAAAATATATCTGTATATATAAATATACGAAAGTATACGAAAATATATCTGTATATATAAATATACAAAAATAAAATGAAATATATCTGAACTAAAATAAAAATCAAATCAACAAAAAAAAGATTTAGTCGTTATAATTTCCATACGCAAAATCATAATATAATTTCCGTACGCAAAATTATTTACTTTTTAAGGTATTAAACCATTCAATTTATTTATTTAAGCTACCCCATCCATGCTATCCCAGTAAACAAAAGTATGTAGAATGCATATTTTGGGTGTTTTAACAACATTTCTAATCTACTAAAATTATTTAAAATAACTAAATATTTAACTCATGCTGAATTTTCTAAATAGCGTATTAAAAAAACACATTTTTGTAATTTTATATGAAAGACAAATAACGCGAGACATAACTAAAAAAAATTGAATAGTTTATTTTTTTATCAATTTCCAAAAAAATTTTAAGGAAAAGCGAAGTAAAACAAATGCTATTGCTTTCAAAGGACTATAGGAAATAGTTCAAGATAAAAAAAAGTTCGAGTTAACCGGTGTTCGACTTACAGGGAATTAACTATACATTATTAAATTATTAAATATATTATTAACAATAACATATACAACTAAATATATACAATATTTAATTTTTATTAAAAAAACCGTCGTAACGCTTGCTGCTAAGCAAATCTAATTTACCCAACCAAAAAAAAATAATTGATTTTCAAACTTTCACCGATAAATTTCGTGTCAGAAATATAAAAAAAGTTCAATAGTACCAACTGTACTTACTGCACCAACATACGTGTGCCTTGATGTTTTTTATTATATTTTTTATTAAAAATTTTAAAAAATAAAGTTTATTATATTTTTTAGATTGGTTTTTAAATTTGAAAAGGTTGCTGGGATAAAGTTGCTTAGAATAGATTGCTACAAACTTTTGTTTAATTGATAATTTAAGGTTTGTGTTATTTGAAATTATAATTTCGACGTATACTGTATGTTTTTGCTCGATGTACAGTTTTTTTTCGATTTACAGTTTTCTTAACTTAGTGTAATTAGTATATTGTTAAATTACCTATTTATAAATAGAGAAATTATTTTGGAACTTAAAATTTTAAAAATGTCTTATTTTCATATTTTATTAATTTGGAGATTTTTTATTGGTAGAACAAAATATATTACTTTTGTTTTGCTTGGTTTGAGGAAAAGTTAAAACTTTGTTTTTTGAACATTCAAAGACGGTTTTTTACATAAAAACCAATCTTTTACTTAATTTAGTTCTTCATCACTTTATAAAGTGTTTCAATACTTTTATGAAAATAAAAAAAAATTGGAGTCATCTGCAAATAAAATAAAATTTAATAAGCTTGTTATTGAAGATAAATCATTTATGTATAGTTTGAAAACTAAAGGTCCTAATCTAAAACCCTGTGGAATACCACAGGTTATCGCATTTTTGGTTGTTTCTATGTTATCAAATTGTATGTATTGTTTTCTGTTCGACAAGTAACGGGTGACAACTAAAAAATGAAACTGGATTTAAAGACACACATCTCCTGTCGAAAATTTTTAGAGTATTTTGAAAGGCCTTGTCTACAAGAATGATTGGCATGCAGAAAATCTTAAAAAAATTATGTTCTAGAATTAAGTATTGCGTTAATAAAACTGATATTGAGCTTACACGGAGACTAGCTCAGTCTATACCAGGCCTAGTTGATAAAGTCAAAAGAAATGGTTTAATTTAGAACAACTGATTATATATTTAAAAACTAGAATAAAAATACTTTCTAGAACATTTTTCCTTTTTGTTTTATCTTATTTCTTTAAAGAGATACGTGTCTTTAAATCCAGTCTCGTTTTTTAGTTGTCACCCGTTAATTTTCAAATCAGTGCGGGTTTATATTTTTTATTTCGTATTGTTCTATTTTTTTAAATTATAATGGAATGATTAACGATGTCAAAAGCTTTGGACCCACCAATAGAAACTCTTAATGTAAAACAATCTTCTTTAAAAGCATCAGATAAACGGTTAATTAAGTCTACTATTGGATATTCAGTTAAATTTTTTTTTAAGTCAAATTGCATACTGTACAACATTTTACTTTTAATTAAATGATATGAAGTTTATTAAGATAAGACATTTATAGTTACATAAGATATGACATTTATAGGCCTGGTATTAGAGAGATCTTACTTATCTCCAGCTCTAAAAATTTGAGTGATTGTGATAACTTAAAAATTGTGCAATTTTTAAGTTATCCGGAACTATAACTAATTTAAGTGATGGTTTGAAAATTTGAAATAAGGATAGTTCAATTATATCATAGACTAATTTTAATATATTAATGCTAACTTTATCTGATCTTGCAATTTTATTATTTTATAGACGGACTGCTTTAATAATAAAGCAGTTCGTAACTCAATTATTTTTGATTCTTTCATTTTTTTATTTGAAGTTGTTAGATAAGAATCAAACGTTAAAGAAGTTGGAGGAATATTTTGTGCTAAATTAGAGCTAAGATTTATAAAAAAACATTAAGTTTTTCAGCACATTACTTTTTCATTTTATGCAGATGATTTTTGGCTAATGTGGAGAAAAAAGAAAAACTAATACTAGCAGTTCGAGAAAGAAGAAGAAAAAAGGTGCAATAATAATGGTTAAAGGAACGATAAACACCGCATGTCTTCAGAGGGCACACCATATATCCTCAGAGTGTTGTGATCTATGCTAGCGAAACAAGGGGTATAAAGATTGACAATTGTCTTCATTTTTTCTATACACAGCAAACCTCAGTCAATTGACATCAATCAATTGACTGAGGTACCAGGTTTGGAAGATTCAACAGTAGTTATTATTTTAATAACCTTTAGTTTAATATAAATCTTTAGTATAATACAAGTTTACAATAAGAAAGTGAAATTTAACAAAAAATCTAACAAAATGAAAGTAAATAATATCTAAAAAATGATGACTTCTTTATTCCCTAATTTTAACAGCCAATATACTGAGCAAACACACAACAATTTACAATCTAGATTCAGCACGACTAATTCTGAGATATTTTAAAACCATATTTTTTAGATATTACCATCATATTTTTTTTGTTTTTAATCGGTACTTGAATTTTATTGCACACACACAAGAATAAATTCGAATCTTTCAATCGATTAACTTTAATTGCAATTGCATTTAACTTTTGAATTTTGGAATATCTTTTATTCTGTTAACTCTCAATGACTAATTATCGTTAACCATAACAAAACCATAAGATAATAATGATGGAGCAAATGCAGCACTTATCTTCAATGCTTTAATTCCAATAGCCATACGATGATCTATAGGTACCAGATTCTATTTTTTTGGGCAAGTCTTGTGTAAATCTTATTGGGACCACTAATCCGTAGAGCTTTCGTTTGTCGACGTTAGAGTTGCGTTAGTTTTCGTTTGTCGACGTTAGAGTTACATATTTTATTGAATGCTTCTCCATTTAGTTGGTGTTCTAGTTAATGTATAGTTTTTATATGTATTTAAATTTAGGTTTAGATTTTTAAACCACCCCAACGTCATATGTTTTTAAAAAGCCATTCAAAACAGTATTGTAAAGGTGAAATTATCAAAGTCATAAAATTCTACAAGAAGTTATGTGGATTTTAGCATCAGATTTGATGAAAAACTGTTGTCGAAATTTAATTTTTTAAACTGAAATTGTTATATCTTTATCAGTTTTCATCTAAATACCTATATGCAAAAGATAGATGTAAAAATGTGTTACAATTAGATATTGGTTTCCAGAAAAAGAACGCACCCAGGGGTGTGAAGGGGTACTGATTCAACATATATGTCTAACAAAAATACAAACGTTTTTTCATAAAAGAGTGTTTTTTTTATAAATTGGTAATTTTTATATCCAATAAACTGTTATTATTTTATTCCAGACCGCTAGTAAGATACTAGTATTATAGGTGTATCTTAAGAATAAGACGGTGTTGGGGTTGTGGTGAGGGTTTAACACACCCTTTCAAATATTTATTCCTTTTAAATATTTTAATCTCTACTAGAATGAATATATCAAGTAAAATATAAAAATGGAAATAATATAGGAAAAAATAATTTATTTAAAAAATGTGAATTGAAAAAAAGTCTTGTGATGGCATTTTTAAAAAGAGAGAACTTTATATTAAGTTAATTTTTTTTACCGTCTTCTAGATGCATCAGAGTATTTATGTAAAGGGACGGATTATCCAGTCCGACCTAAAACATAAAATACACAACAATAAATCTTTTTAAACAAAATAAGTAACTAATTCATGTTTTAGCTTTTAAGTTATTTAAATTTTAAGTTCCATTAATGAAACAAAGTAAATCATTTTTAACAACAGACACAACATAAAAGTAAACCAGAGCCGTCTCTCAAAACAAATTTGCGAATCTCAAAATTGGCTGTACCTATTTTAGAAGTTACAAAATTTGCGAGACATTTTAATATAATTTATAAATGTGTATTAGTATGCATAAGTATGTATTGCATTCAATTTAAAGTATAATTAATTCTCCATCATGCATCATTTTAACATAAGAATGTCAACGAAATTTCGTGAGCAGAATAAAATCAATGAAAAAGTTTAGTAAGCATATGACATAAAAGTCATATAAAAATCAAACTTGTTTTCTTTTATTTTATAAGTTATATATGTTTCTAAACAGATATGCAACACAAAGAACTTTTGTCTAAAGCTACCCAGTAAGTACAGGACGTTTTTAAAACGTTTAAAAAACTTATTAAAACGAATATTAACGTTTTTTAAACATTTTAAAAACAATTTGTGCTTACTGGGTACCTAA